GTGGCCGCTGAGCGTGCGCGTCCGGAGCCTGTGCTCCACAACGGGAGAGGCCACAGCAGTGAGAGGCCCGCGTACCACAAAAAAAAAAAAAAAAAAAAAAAAACTTTAAAATGACTACATCTTTTGTGTAAACTTACTGAACAATGTTCAAATAGGTAATTTGAATGTCCTTTTTTCTTAATATTGTCTTCTGCCTGCTTTTCAGTGGCGGTAGTAATGAGTAACAAATAGACTGAAGGGAAAACATAATTGAAAAAGAGAAGGAAAGACAAAATCCTAGCTATATCTAGGGTTTTTGAATTTTAGGACCTAGGATGCCAACAGTCTGCCCTCTCTTCTTCCTATTTATAGAGAGGGAAAGATAAAGAGAGATACACCTGATGAAGAAAGCAAGAGACAGCAAACCTCCCTACCTGAAAATATTTCCTTCACATATTCTAATAATTTCCCCCAAATATCAGTAGTTTAAGATCTTTAAAAAATGTAAATAATTCTTGGGAAGACTTAACTTGCAGTGCTTTATATTACTAGATCCACAAATAACAAAGAAAATCTCTCTATAAAGAAGCTATAATCTACAAGGACCCAAAAGATATACATGCAAATAACTGTAATATAAGGAAAGGTGGTAAGACAATTGGAGTTACTTCATAGGGGCTAGAGAAAGTATTAACAGACTGGGGAATACTATGCATGTTTCAAGGAAGAGACAAATAGTGAAGGACAGTAGGGGAATCCCAACGAAGCTGATGGAAAGCACATATGGAGCATGTTTGAAGAACATGCCTGTTTTGGATGAAGAACTAGGTATATGATGGAGAACAGCTGGAAATACAGCTGAAAAGACAGAATGGGTAAGGACCATAAAATGTTGTAAATGTCAGCAATGACATATTATTATGAATAAATAACAGAATCTGAAAAAAATGACAGATATTATTCAGTACAAAGGGGAAGGTCATGATCACAGCTACACTTTTGTAAATATTTATTAAATATCTACGTCTTAGTGATATAAAGGTGAATAGAACCAGTGGCTCTTCAACTTTCAGAGGTATGGCAGTCCTGGTTGTTTGCCTTCAAATCTACTCTTCCTGTTTCCCCTGCTCTGCCCTGTAGGACAGGAAACCTGAGCCCCTGCAGGCAATTTCCTGGGCTCCATGTCAGCTAGCTTCTGGTTGGGTTCAATCAATGGGAAGCACCAGTTGGAGATTGGAGGGCAGTTGGAAGCAGCCATGTTTTTTTCCTCCATTTCCTCTTTGCCATGGTAGAATCTCCTCTACTACTGCTCCCACACCAGACAAGTCTACCTTCCAGCTTCCACAGTGAAACCAGCCTCTGGGATTCATCTCTCCTTGTCTTACTGATTATCAGAGTGGTTTCCTGCTGTTGCTACTCTCTGAGCTGGCTCATGTAAGCAGCTTGTCTTAGCTTTTCTATCACCAGTGTAACCAATTCCCTCATTAAATCCCTCCATGTTAAATACTCAGATTACTTTCAGTTTTCCTGAATGGATGCTGACTCACACAGGAATGAACAAACATATTTGGGAATCTAAATAAGGTTCTGGATACTTTACCCATAAAAAAAATGCCCCACCTATACATTAAGTTTTATAGATAGTCTGGGGGCTCACAGAACTCTTGAAGCCTGTCCATTAATCCCAGATTAAGAATACTACATAGGACAAAAAAGTAAGTTTCATTTTGGTAAGGTGAAGTTCTATAGGTGAATGATGGTGATGGTTACAGAACAATGTGATTGTACTTAATGTCCCAGAACTGTAAAAATGGCTAAAATGGTTAAATTTTGTTATGTTTTATTTTACCAAAAAAAAAAAAAGTAAGTAAACACAAAGCTACAATAAAACATGGTAAGAGTATGACAGAAGTAATCCACAATGCCATGAGAGCATGTAAGGAGAAAGTACTAACTGTACCTGCTGGAAAAAGTTTGAGAGATTACAATTGACCTGAACCTTGAATACAAGTGTACTAGGGGAGAAAAACATTGCAGGCAGAGAGAACAAAATACATAAGAAGAGTATCTGCAGAAACTGCAAGTCGTTTGGTATGCCTGGAGCATAGGGCCTATGTTGAAAAGTTGAGATCAAGCAAGAGAGATGGGTAGGATCAGTTCCACAGAGCACCTTGTATGACATACTAATAAAACCAAAACTGGTGGCCCAGAGGCAACAAACAACACTTTGATGTAGTTTGGCCTGTACAATATTTAAAGAAATTCCAGCAAGGAAATAGCTGGATGTAGCAGAGTAGCAAGGGCTATTTAAGTGGAGTAGTGAGGTACGAAAGCACAGTATGTTGAAGAATGAAAGCTAAGTGAGGAAATAGAGCAACTAAGTAGAGCTTATTCTTTGAATAAATCTGACTTGTGAAAGGATGACATAGATAGAGCATTAGATAGAATGTGAGGTGGGGTCTAGGAAAATGTTTTGGTGTGTGTGGGTAAGGGTAAAAAACCCAATTATGTAAACTCTAAGGGAAGAACTCTATTTTTAGCATTTGGCACAGTGCCTGGAACATACTACCACCCAAAGATTTGCTGAAAGGACATAATGAAGAAAAGGGGCCAACAATGAGAGGGGCTGAAGGAGTACTGAGAGGGAGGGAGTACTGACAGGAGGAGAAACATGAGCAAATAATAAAACTGTTAATATTTTAAGCCACTAAGTTGTGTGATCACAGATCTCCATGTTGATATGATAATGCTAAATGAAAAAAGCAAGAGTGGTGAGTGTGGGGAGATTTGCTTTTTTTGGTATTATTCTTTTGCACAACTTGAAATTTTTTAAGTGCACAACTCTTTCAACTTTCAGAATTGGAGGTGCAGTGTGAATGCTTTAGGCAGATTTTTGTAACAGTAAATAAGATGAATTGCAGGACCATATGAGAAGCCATGACAACAGTCCAAAAGAGAAGTAATGGGATGCATACTGCTAGGATTGGTGGCAATGAAAATGGAATGTGAATGACAAATAAGAATTTTAGGGTAAGAAACAATCTCTGTAGTTTTTATCCATTTAAAAAAAAGGAGGAAGTCTAGGAGAGCAGCTGGTTTGTGGAGAATAAATACAAGTTTGGTGTAAATTATTCCAGTTAGAAAATCGTACTGCTTTCTTAAGACCAGTGGTTCGTGCCCTCCAGGAAACATACTGGCAATATCTGGACACTTTTTTTATTCTCACGACTGGGTGGGGGTGGGGACTGGGTCCTGCTGGCATCTAATGGATAGAAGCCAGGGATGCTGATAAACATCCCACAATGCACAGGACAGCTACCCATAATAAAGTATGTCAATGTTATTGTGAACTTTGTGAAAGTCTACTTTGGATCTGTTTACATATAAGCCTAATTAATATAACAATTACAAGATAGCTAGCTTTTTCCTTAGATGATGTAGGTTAACTGTTGATATTCAGTTCTGATAAAGTGCACAAAAGATTAACCAAACATTAACAAAATATTAGTTTAAACTTAAGTCATTATTTTCTCCAAAAACATATGGTAGAACCATTACCTTCTAATGTTTTCTGCAAAATGTGCTCATCGAGAACCTGTGCACAAAAGCCATTTTTTTTGGACAGGGCTGAGTACTTAAAATGGAATACGAAATGGATTTTTTTGGCAATAAAATAATGGTAGTAATGGCCGTGGATGCCAGGGGAAGTTTTATCACAGATGTTTACCATTTACCATTCATATATGATGTCTGTAAATCACTGGCTCTGGTTTTGAGATTTATGTGGCTCTCATTCCCAGCAGTACAATCCTCTTTATTCTTTCAGGGGAAAAACAACAAAACCCATTTCCCACACAGACAATACAGTCTGACAACAGGCAGTGTTACTAATTCTTTTCAAATTGAGGAAAAACTAACTAGGACTAAAAAATGTTTAAATGGAAGGCATTTCCCCTGTGAAAATTCTTGCTAATCAAAAGAACAGGAATTGCTGCTGTCTTAAAGTATGCAACTGGCATTTCAAACCTCTACACTCTACGACTTCTTGCGGGAGGGTGGGGGATAGAGAAGGAAGATCACCCCATTTGTCCCAAATTCGTAGTTCTAAGGGCTAGTTATGAGAAGGTCGTCAAGAAGGTCCTTCTACAAAGCTGGGTGGCTGGGGAAGTTCTTATTTTTCCTAATTCGGTCCCAGCTCTGACACGAGAAAGTGAGCCCAAGGCTGAAAAACGCAGTCCATCCATCACATAAGCAACTCCCCTTGCAGGGATCCTAATTAAGTGTGCAGGCCTGATTTTCCCACCGGATCCGGGCCTCAGGTGTTTCACCCCGAGCTTCTCTTCAGCCTCCCCTCGCCACGGAGCCTCGGAAGAGAGGAGCATCCACACACAAAGAAGCTTAAACCATCCGAGCCTCCGACTGAAGAAGATTCACCTCCAGTCTGAATTTGCAGGCGGGGAGGCAAAGCCCCAAAGCTTCCCCACCCAAGGAAAACCTTTGGCCCCAAAGGTCCTTCCGTCCTGCTTAGCCTGGTTCAATACCCCTCCCTCCAGCGTCGGCGCTTACCCAATACCAGTCGGGCTACGTCCGAAGGTAACAGCATGATCGAAGCCGCAGAAGGAACCACAATAAGAGACGAGACCCAGGTAAAAGCCAACACAGCGACAGCTTCTGCGCCGCATCTCCCGGTTCCAGTGGCGGCACTAAACCCGCGGCGATTTGTCCCGCCTCTTTAGCTCCTCGCCAGCCAATCGCTTCCGCCGGAGAAAGAAAGGCGCCGAAATGAAACCCGCCTGGTTCTCCTTCGAACTGTCGTCATATCCGTCCTCATATTTGGAGGGGTGAGGCTGAAGGGGGCGAGGAGGCGGGACGAGTGAGCCGGAGCCCGAGCTAGCGGGCGAGCGGCGAAGGCAGGGTCGCACGCCATTGGCGGGCAGTGCGAGCGGCGAACGCAGCGGTCGCACGCCATTGGCGGGCAAGGAGCAGGCGCGTTTCCTAAGGTGAGTCCGTCGTTTTGGGGGTGCGAGTGCTGGGAGCTGAAGCTTGTAGCGTTTGGCGCGCATGGGCAGACAGTGTCCGGGCGCCCGTCTGCCTTACTGCTTCCGACGGAGACGCACGCTGCGTGGTCACGCCAGGTTTGATCCGAAAGCCGAAATAGTGCGTGGACAGCAGGCTGGGCTCGTGAGGGAGGCGAGTTGAGCGGGATTCTAGGCTTCGGCCATCGCCGCTTCCAGAGATTCCGCCTTGGCTATCCGAGTCCAGCGGTAGGGGCGCGGAAGCAGCGCAGTGGCTTCCGCGTTGGGGAGTTCAGTCGTATCTGAGCCGTTCAGTCCTGGCCTTCAGACTCACTCCTCTTCACCTCATCTTGCCCAGCCCACTGCCCTAATCGCTCTCGTCCGCCCACCCTTCCTGCTCCAGCCGACATAGCCTTGAAGCTGCTTCTTAATGCCCAGAATTGAACCTTCGTGCGCGTACCCTTCCCGTGTCCAGATGTAACTAGATGGCTTGAGTAATCATCTTTTTCTCCCCTCTCATAATTAGTAGTTTTAATCAGCGAGCAATTTGTTTGGGCTTAAACTACAGTCTCGTGATTAAGAGCATGGGCTTTGGTATCACACTCCCGGAGTTCGAGTCAGCTAGCTGTGTGACCTCGCTGTACTGTCTTCCTTGTGATAATCCTGTCCTGTGGTGAGCACTCAAGAGCGTTGGTGGCTGCTTTTATCAGGTACGGATAAGTAACAAGACTATTAGTATTAAGAATGAAAATGTGATAGAAGAGGATTGTGGTGGTAGAGGAGTGGATGAGGTTCTGTAGAAACGTAGCCTGGGAGAATCAATTCTGTTTGCGGTGAGACCTTGCAGTGTTAAATTGTCCTGGAGGGTGATAGGAACCTTCTAGACAGAAGGGAAAACGCATATAAAGGCACAACGTGTAAAAGGTTCCTGAAGCTCAAGAGTGAGGTCCTGCACTGAATGAAATAGATGTGGGCATTTTTCACGTGTTGAAGTCATAGGAATGGATGAGATCCTACTGTGAGAACATACAGTGAGAAGTAAGGAGACAAGGATGTTCTTTCAGGTGTGGGTGGAAAAAGAACCATCAAAAGAGACTTGTGAAACAGAAAGGGAATAATGATAACTGCTAACATTTACTGAGCAACTTCTATGTCCCAGGCAGTGTTAAACATGGACACGAATCCTTACAATAAATAACTCTTTGAAGATCTAGTTCAGTTCTAGTATTGTTTTTCATTTTATCATTGAGAAGACAGAGGTTTAGAGAGATTAGCTAACATGCCCAAGGTTATACAGCTTGTAAGTGGCAGGACCAGGTTATGAACTAGTACAATCTGACCACAGACTCCACACTCTTACCGTTAGAAAAGAATGGCATGCTACAGGTAGAATTAGATCTAGGAAGCTGGTATATAAGCATCATTGTCAAATTCTGCAAAGGGACCAACTTGGTTGAGATCCGAAAAGGAACAACGGATTTTCCAGTTCAGAAGCTGTTACCTAGGAAACATGTACCATGCCAGTTGCATGGTTGGGAGTAGAACCTTAATTGTTGTGGATTAATGTATTAATTGAATTCAGCTTTATCTGGTGACACTCTTACTCTGCCTGTCTACTCTCTAGTTCCTTTGGCCATCTTTCAGTTCCTCCAACATACTTTGCATTTTTTCATCTTGGGACCCTTTGGCTGTGCTAGTTTCCTTCTCTAAGATGTTGGTCCTTTAACTCTTTCTATGATTGGCACCAGTTCATTCAGATCTTGGCTTTATTGTAACTTCCTCTGATACATTTTCCTTGATAGTTTATAAAAAATGATCCATTCCATTGCTAATGTATATTTGCTCCCTTTGAGTCATATATCACAATTTGGAATTATGCATTGATTTATCAGTGTACTTGTTTATTGTCATTCTTCCCCACTAGTCATGACTCCATGAGGGTAGGATTTGTGTCTATTTAGTTCATTATGTGTCTTAACTACCCCTAACATAGCACCTCACACATAGTAGTTGCCCAGTAAATATTGTTGCTTGTCGCAGTGAATGAACATTTCCTGTTTATGTAGATAATACTGAACTGTTTTGTTTTCTTGAAAGTAATCAATCTCTGAGAATTGGATAAGGGGAAAAGCAAGTTCAGAAAAGCCACAGCTTAAAAAAAAAGTTTAGGGCTGTCACTTCTTGGAAGTGTCACATGTTCAGTAAACATGCATTTTTTTTCACACTACAAATAACATTAAGAATATAGGTGCCTGGGCTTCACTGGTGGCGCAGTGGTTGAGAGTCCGCCTGCCGATGCAGGGGACATGGGTTCGTGCCCCGGTCCGGGAAGATCCCATGTGCTGCGAAGCGGCTGGTCTCGTGAGCCATGGCCGCTGAGCTTGTGCGTCTGGAGCCTGTGCTCCGCAACGGGAGAGGCCACAACAGTGAGAGGCCTGCATACCGCTAAAAAAAAAAAAAAAAGAATATAGGTGCCTGCCTTTACGGTTCTTTGGATATTGCTAAGGTGTTTTCATTGGTTAGAATCCCAATTTTATTTTCCTTATTGACTCAGGAAGCCTTTAAACTAAGATTGAGCAAGAAGGGAGAGGAGTTCTAGATACAACTATAAGGAATGGAAAAGTAAAAACGACAGTCCTTGTCTTCAAGAGGTATACAATCAAATGAAAAAGGCAATCAAATAAATAATGACCTGTATTCTACAGCATAGAAAAGGAGGTTGTTATAGGGGTAAAAGAATCAGAACGACTTATGGATATAAATGGAGAAGAGAATTAGAGCTATCTGCCAATAAAATAGGAAGTCTTACTAGGAAGTTTGTTCTAAGTGAGAGTGTTTAAAGAGAGGTCAATAATTTTGTTGGAGAGATTTCTTCCTTTGTAGGAAGATTGGACATGGTCTCTCAGTTCGTTCCAATTTTAAGATTCTGTGAGATTAAGCAGGGGCAGAGTAATATACTTGATCTTGAAAGATTGAGTAGAATTTATGTGGATGGATGGGGAAAGGACTTTGCCCACCTTTTTTTCCTCTTGAGATATATATGTAGTGTAGATATAATAGACAGACGTACATTTTTTCCTTGTTTATAAACATAGTAACAAAAGTGAAGCTTCTTTGTAAAAAGGCTCAGAAATACTAAAACAATGCTTTTCTTGAAAGATTTTTTTTTTAAGTTTATCAAAGGAAGGTTTGGTTATATCAGAAAATCTAAAAGGAGGAGGTCTACTGCAATGGCATTAAGATATATAAAATATAGTTGACCTTTGACATTTGCAAGGTATATCACTATAGCATATAATTTCCTTCGTTTCCTTTTATAACAATAATATCATTTTTCTCCTACTTTTATGTATTAAATGAGAACCATAAAGCCAGTTGAGATGTAAGTGCTAGGCAAGGCTTACTAGCTCTGATAACCTCTTACATATCCATTCCAAAGGATAAGCAATTTAAGCTTTTGGCTCAGGAAAGTGGCAAGTCACTACGTATAAGAAAGGGTCCTTTTGGGCTTCCCTGGTGGCGCAGTGGTTGAGAGTCTGCCTGCCAATGCAGGGGACACAGGTTCGAGCCCTGGTCTGGGAAGATCCCACATGCCGCGGAGCAACTAGGCCCGTGAGCCACAACTACTGAGCCTGTGCATCTGGAGCTTGTGCTCCGCAACAAGCGAGGCCGCGACAGTGAGAGGCCCGCGCACCGCGATGAAGAGTGGCCCCCGCTCGCCACAACTAGAGAAAGCCCACGCACAGAAAAGACCCAGCACAGCCAAAAATAAATAAATAAATGAAATTTAAAAAAAGAAAAAAAAAGAAAGCGTCCTTTTAAATCGTTCAGACAGTGTTAAATCCTTAAGTGCTATTTTCCTTACTCTTTGCCTGGCTGCCTTTTTTTCATCTTTTATATTTCAATTTAAATGTCATGTTTCTTAGAAGAAGAAAAGGTCTCTCCTCTAAGAGATCCTCTTCTTAGAAGAGGTCTCAGAAAAATAAAGTAAATTATACCTTACTTATTTTTATCCTGCTACACATTCAATGCACATTTGCATGTTAAGGCTTTGTTTTGATATATTCTAAGAAAATCTTATTTAAATATGGAAGTATTAAGAAAAATCATTGTGCATTATAGTATGCCTCTAGCTATACAGTTAGATCTAACTATATATTAATACCACAGTCTGAAATAATTTTACATATGTATATTTTTTTTTTACAGATAATGTGTTTTCTGAAATTCTGAATCATGAGTCTAGCACTTAATGATCTGCTTATTTGCTGCCGTCAACTAGAACATGATAGAGCTACAGAACGAAGGGTAGTAAATTACTTAAATTTAATCTTTCCTTGAAACAGATGTGTGATTGGTAACTCATTTTGTTCTTTTTTCATTTTCAGAAAGAGGTTGAGAAATTTAAGCGCCTGATTCAGGATCCTGAAACCGTTCAACATTTAGATCAGCATTCAGATTCCAAACAAGGGAAATATTTGAATTGGGATGCTGTTTTTAGGTATTCCATTATTTTTTTACTGTCTTTATTTTTCTTTTTCATTTTTATTTCTCTTGTGATTCTTTTTGTGTATGTAGGTCTAATTTATCTTTGCTCCCTTTGTACCCTTGTGCCTTGCATAGGAAATTGGCGCTCAATATTTATCTGAAATATAATTTTTAAAGGATGTTCATATAGAAAAAGTTAAAATTTTTGAATCATTTGTTCAATAAAATGTCTTAGACATATTTCACTCAAGATTAGAGAGAATTTCATTCATACCAGTTCATTCATAAGACTTTATTTCAAATTAGAGCATAAAATTAAGTTATATCAAGTCCTTTATTGTTACTTTGACATATTTAAATATTTCTCTAAGTAACTGGCATATGTTAAACTATAATAAAAAAGTAAAAAGGAATTTTAGAAAAACTCTATATGAATGCAGTTAACAAACACAAAACTCTGGCATTGGAAAGACACAATTCATCGCTGAACTGGAGTGGCAAACAGAATTGATGCTTTTTTACATTAAGACATAATTTTCAATTACGAAGTCCATTTATAACTAGAAATAGATTGTAAGACTTAGGAAAGATGAATAAAATATTTTAAATTAATATAGAATACTGATAAACTTGAAAGAACATTTTCAGTCAAGGGGAAATATGAGTATTGTTCTTGAACGTTTAGAACAGATAATCTATTTTATTTTTTAGCTCTTTTTTTTTTTTTTTTTTATTTATTTATTTTTAACATCTTTATTGGAGTATAATTGCTTTACAATGGTATGTTAGTTTCAGCTTCACAACAAAATGAATCAGTTATATATATACATATATTCCCATATCTCTTCCCACTTGCGTCTCCCTCCCTCCCACCCTCCCTATCCCACCCCTCCAGGCGGTCACAAAGCACCGAGCTGATCTCCCTGTGCTATGCGGCTGCTTCCCACTAGCTATTATTTTTTAGCTCTTATTTGGTACTAGATAGACCACTGCAAATATCATTGTAGATAACATGAAAAATATATACTTCTTTTCCTCTGGTTACTTACTTTATTTCAAATACCACAAATATAGTTATCTAAAGATGAATACTGTTTTGCATAAGCTGATGATGTAGGCCAAATATGCACCTGACGTACCCAGCTGATCATGAATATCTTATAGGCAGGCTTCATTTAAAGGCTAGAGACATTACCAACTGCCTAGGAAAGAGATAGGTCATGTACAGAGTAACAGAGTTGAGAAAGAATTGAGAGCCCCTAATAGCATTGCAAGCTTTTAGTGATAAAATGAGAAAGCAGGCAAGAAAGCAATAGAAAATCCTGGAGGTTACAGATTAAGAGCTTTGCAGGCCAGACTTTAAATTGGTGTTGAGGGCTTAGGCCTTAAAAAAGAAATGTAATTGTTTTGTTTAGCTGGTACATTGATTGAAGCAATGTGGTTTAAACAATGCTCTTTATGATGGCATGAAGGACTTTTTGAAACTATTATAATAATTTAAGTATTTAATGAGTTTCTGAAATTACATTGCACTTTCTTGAAGAGTTTTACAGAAATATATTCAGAAAGAAATGGAATGTCTGAGAACAGCAAAACCAAATGTATCAACCTCAACACAAGCCACCAGGCAGAAAAAGATGCAAGAAATCAGTAGCTTAGTCAAATACTTCATCAAATGTGCAAATAAAAGTAAGTGCTGTTACTTGGCTTAATAGATTATTGTTACATGAGTTTGGTCTGAATATGGTGAGATAAAAGTTCAGTGCTAACTCTTAATTTCTAGTACATATACTGATTTTTAATACTATAGGTTCAAATATTTGGAGGAATTTATACAAGCATGGAATGATAGAACCTCAGGGTTTAGAAGGATTAAAAAATATTATTTCATCTACCCATTTTTCTTGGATTCCATCTATATGTCCCTGGCACTTAGGTAGCCTTAATGATAAAACATGCCTTTTGAGGCTTTCTTTTCTGTTTTAGTAGTTTTCATAGTAGTGAAAACCTGTCTCCTTTTGTTACTGCTTCTGTTTGCTGAGATAATACAGAAAAATACTAACTCAGTTTTTTCAATATCCTTTTTTCAAATATCCTTTGAGATATTTGAAGTTACCCATGATATTTCCCCTGAGTCCTCTTCTCTAAGCTAAACAGACCTACTTCCTGTTGCTCATACGAGCTAGTTTTTGTGTCACTTCTGAATATTCTTCAGTTTAATTCCCTGTCTCTTAAAGTGTGGGACTCAATCTTATAGGCATATTCTTATTTGTATGGAGTGGAGCAGGACTTCCATATCTTTTATTCTATACTTCTACTGATTCATTCCAAGATCACATTAGCTTTCTTGGCAGTCAGAACCACACTCTTTAACTAATAGCATGCTTACTGTTGATTAAAAAAAAACCCAAGTTCTTTTTTGCTCCTGATGAGCCACATATCTCCCATTTTGAACTTATACAGTTTTGAAAAGCCAAATTTTTGAACCAAAATGCAGAATCCTAGTAGGCTTATGTAAGGAAATGGTTTTCATACAATGCTGAAAAGCTAGTGGCGGAAATGTTTGTTTAGGGACTTGGACTCAAACTTTGTTTATTTTTCACAGATAAGAAAGTGGCTTTGTGATGCCAGGTTTAGTTTAAGAATCAGAAAAGCCCAATGTTGGTAAACATTATTAAGTAGAAGGATATAAATTGTTAGTGAATGATGTTTCAGAATGGTGGTATGAGACTTGAGTCTAAAAGACAGTGGCTTTAGCAAAAATTTAGTTTTTCGGCTCCTCTGAGATGCCATTTTGTGTGGGTAGCTGCAAGTCCTGAGCAGGGACTCCAGCATAGACAGAAGAAAGCTACACCGAAATATTTTTGCACCTGCTTTTGCTCTGCATCCATTAAAATTTGTATTCCTAGCTACTAATGCTGGGCTCTTAATAGATCTTAATATGGTCTGACAGAATTAGTGAGTGAGAGAAAGATATTTGTAGCCTATTTGTAGCCCATCAGAAAAGTTTGCAGCTTAGAATTTTGCTTTAAAGTGAAAAAAACCTTCTATTGCAAAATTAACAATGGAGATCACATTTTCATTTTATTTATTTTTGGCTGCGTTGGGTCTTTGTTGCTGAGCATGGGCTTTCTCCAGTTGCGGCGAGCTGGGGCTACTCTTCGTTGTGGTGTGCGGGCTTCTCGTTGCGGTGGCTTTTCTTGTTGCGGAGCATGGGCTCTAGGCACGTGGGCTTCGGTAGTTGTGGCTCACGGGCTCTAGAGTGCAGGCTCAGTTGTTGTGGCGCACGGGCTTAGTTGCTCCACGGCATGTGGGATCTTCCCAGACCAGGGGTCGAACCTGGAATCCACCAGGAATACACCCTGCGTTGGCAGGTGGATTCTCAACCACTGCACCCCCAGGGAAGCCCGTGATCACATTTAAAAATGTATGAAAGTATCAATATGTTGGTTTATAGGAATAAATGGATGAAATTTTCAGTGTAAGATTATTCAAATGGTTGAAAAATGATATTTTTATTCAAGGCTTTTTTTTCTTTCAAGTTTTACTTTGTAACTTAAACATCTTTAATCTCGGAGCAAAACCAGGAGCTACTATTGTGTCATCTCACTTATTCAGTTTTTTTTTTAAAGGGTTGGAGGGTTGATGAGAATTTAAACACATGTCCAGACTTTGCCAGACTTGCTTAACATTGGTACCCAAGGTATGATGAAAGAAACAGAGATCAGAAAAAAAGAGGTAGATGGGAAGGAACCAGTAAGCAAATATTGTTCAACTATAACAGATGTTATAGTTAAGAAAATGTTAGGAAGACTATAAGAGAGAAATGCACAGGGTGTTACAGCAGAGGATATTATGATTGTGCATTTCATCATTAGCCAGATGCCTAAAATTATAAGCCATAAGTAAAAATGATTTTTTAAACTAATAAGAACAGAAACTACACTTGATCTTAGCCAAAAGGCCAAGAAGCGATGATTTTTTGTTATACCCGTGTATATTTATTTATCATACTTCTAAATAACTAGTCTCATCATAAAAAATCCTAAACTAGAATATATTCAAATATACATAATGACTTGCACCCTGCTCGTAACTTACAACAAAAAATTTATATGCAATTTTAAGATTGTTAATATTGAAATATGAAAAATTTCAGCTGTGACAGCAATACAATTTACTGAAAGTAACAAATAACTTTTAAATGTACTTTTGTTACCTTTAAGAATATATCCAGGGCTTCCTTGGTGGTGCAGTGGTTAAGAATCTGTCTGCCAATGCAGGGGACGTGGGTTTGAGCCCTGGTCAGGGAAGATCCCATATGCCGTGGAGCAGCTAAACCCGCGTGCCACAACTACTGAGCCTGTGCTCTAGGGCCCGCGAGCCACAACTACTGAGTCCACGCACCACAACTACTGAAACCCGAGTACCTAGAGCCCATGCTCTGCAACAAGAGAAGCCACCGCAGTAAGCCCGCACACTGCAACGAAGAGTAGCCCCCACTCACCGCAACTAGAGAAAGCCTGCGTACAGTAACAAAGACCCAACACAGTCAAAAATAAATAAATAAATTAAATAAATTAAAAAAAATATATATATCCAGGGACTTCCCTAGTAGCACAATGGTTAAGAATCCGCCTGCCAATGCAGGGGACACGGGTTTGAGCCCTCGTCTGGGAAGATCCCACATGCCGCGGAGCAACTACACCCGTGTGCCACAAATACTGAGCCTGTGCTCTAGAGCCCGCAAGCCGCAGCTACTGAGTCTGCGTGCCACAACTAATGAAGTGCGCGAGCATAGAGCCCGTTGCTCTGCAACAGGAGAAGCCACCGCAGTGAGAAGCCCGTGTACCGCAACGAAGAGTAGCCCCTGCTTGCCTCAACTAGAGAAAGCCTGTGCACAGCAAAGACCCAATGCAGCCAGAAATAAATAAATTAAAAGAAAAAGAGTTCCATTAAAAAATATATATATCCATTAATTCTGAATTTTCAGGACCTCTAATAATTAAATAAAACTAAAAATTATAGCCTTACATATGTATATATAATAAATGCTATTATAGGACTTGGAAGTAATTTTGCTTTTCAAAGGAAATAGTATTCTCTTTATAATCTTATTCTAATCAGGTTTTTATAAAAAATACCAGGAAACTTTGGGTCACTCAAGGTCTAATGTCAGAAATTGTGAATTATTAAGGTAGAATGAATGATTGTTTTTGCTATATAATCCTATAGGATTGGCAAATTTTTTTTGTAAAGTGACCAGATCGTAAATGTTTTTGACTTTGCAGGCTATGTAGTCTCTGTCTCAACAACTCAACTTTGCCATTTTAGCATGAAAGTAGCCATATACAATATGTAAATGAATAGACATGTTTATGGTCCAAAAAACTTTATTTCCAAAAACAGGTGGTTGGCTGAATTTTGCCCCTGGGCCATAGTTTGCTAATCCGTGTTTTATGAGAAGGAGGTTAGTTAATAGTAAGTTCCCAAATGGAATTATTTATACAATTGCCATTCCAAGCATCCTTATCTTACTTTTCTTAAGATTTATATGTTTTTGTTTGTTTGTTTTATTTTTAAATAGGAGCACCCAGGCTAAAATGTCAAGAACTCTTGAATTATATCATGGAGACAGTGAAAGATTCATCTAATGGTGCCATTTATGGAGCTGATTGTAGCAACATATTGCTGAAGGACATTCTTTCAGTGAGAAAGTACTGGTGTGAAATATCTCAGCAACAGTGGACAGGTATGTTTTGAAGTTTGTTATTTGTGAATTTTTCCTTGTGAAATGAAATTTCACCAAAAGAGCATTCAGAGTCTATTTATATCCCCCAAATGACCTCACAGTTTAACAGTACCTTAGTGAAATTAAATGATTATAGAATCTGACACTTTTCATGTATTATGTACTTCTTAAATTGTCACTAATATTGTATTTGGTGCCTGCTATCAGAACTAAAATTACAGAATTGAAAGATGCCATACCTGTCCTCAAAGACTTGACAGTCCAATGACAGAAAAAACCAAGTAAACCAAAAGTTATAATGCAGTGAGTTCACAGATCAGTGACACCTAAATGCAACAATGATTAAAGTAGAAAGAAGAAAACCAAGAGAGATGTCATAAAAGGGAAAGCAAGAGAATTTCAAGTTGGAAGGGGTGTGACATTTAAAGTGTTGTAGAAATAATAAGATGTGGAAGTATCCATTAGGACTAGGCAGTTTGCAGGTCACTGGTAAGGTAATTGAAATGAAATATTAGAATAGAATGTGTAGGACCCAGTGACTTACAAGATAAGTAGAGTGGGGTACCATGGAGGTATTGTTGACAGTTTGTAGGTGAGAGGTACTAAGAGACCACAAAGGAAGTTTGGTCAGAGGCTGAAATTTTTGAGTTTATTGATTTCAAAAGTGGAGTATTTCTGGCTCTGGGTGGCTTAATGGGTGAAAATGGTATTTGGCTTTAATGAGGTGACTTTAAGCCAGATGTCAAAGTCTTCTAATACAGCCACCTCTGAAAATTTAGAAACTCAGTATTTTTCATTGAGAAGTATTCAAGATAAATTGTGCTAACTTAAAAGACATTTATCTATATTTTTTACCATCAGTTTATCATTTCAAAATAAGATGTTTGTGGACCATAAACCCATGACCTAATCAGTGGTCTACATTGTATTCCACCGTTCCCACATGAATAAAGGCCTTCTTAGCTATTGCTTAATTTCTTATCTGGGGCCTTTGCTGTTGCTCTGAACACAAAGGAGGCTTTGTTCCAAACAGAGCCCTCAGTAAGCCTAGTGGCAGCCTTTAGAGAATAGGCCAGTGATATCTAGGGTACACCGACACGTCTGTCACCAAAATGGTTCAGCCTAAATATTTAGAATGTTTGTACATTTTAGATTATTACTTGTAACTATGGGTCTCTGAAACAAAGGCAGTCGTTCCTCTAGTCTCTTTACTCTGATTCCATCATCTGGCATGTTCTCTGAAATTCTCTATTTTTAAGCAAACTACTTTCACTTCTGATAGTCAGTCTTTTTGTTCAATTTTTTTTTTAGTTAGTTACCGTCTCTGAAATTTACTTCTCTAATGAAGCCTGCTCAAGAAGTGAAGTTTACATTCAAAATATATTTGGTAGAGGTGGTGATTGAAGCCATGGTTATGGATTAGATTGTCTAGGGAGAGAGTTTAGAGTGAGATGAGAAGATGGCCTTAGTCTTCTAAACCAACATTTCCATATAAATTTTGGAATCAGCTTGTTGATTTCTACAAAAAATCGTGCTGGGATTTTATTGGTATCACGTTGGACCTATTGAACTAAGGAGCAATAGACATCTTAACATAGACTCTTCCAGTCCATGAACATGGTATATCTCTCCATTTATTTACGTCTTTTTTGATTTATCAGCATATAGAATTTGTATATTTTTGTTAGATTTATACTGCAGTAGTTTGTAAATTTTACTGTCTCTTTAAAACATTTTCTCTTCCATGTTGTTCAGAAGTACTGTTGACTTTTGTATACCATATTGATCTGGGACCTTGCTAAAATTGCTTATTAGATCTAGGAGCTCTTTTGTTCATTCTGGGGAATTTTCTATTTAGACAGTTGTGTCATCTGCAAGTAGAGAGTTTTTTGTTCCTTCATTTCTGAGCCATGTGGCCTTATTTCTTTGTTCTACCTTATATTGACTAGGACCTCAGTATGATTTTTTTTTTAATGGTAAGATGTACATAACATAAAATTTACCATTTTAACCATTTTTGCATATACAATTCAGTGGCATTAAGTATATTCACATTGTTATGCAACCATCACAACTCATTTCCAGAACTTTTTTCATCTTCCAAACTGAAACTCTGTACCCATTAAACGGGAACTTCCCCTGCTCCCCACCTCCAGCTCTTGGCAGCCATTCTACTTTCTGTCTCTGAATTTGACTACCCTAGTACCTCCTGTAAGTGAAATTGTACAGTGTTTGTCCTTTTCTGAATGGCTTATTTCACTTAGCATAATGTATAAGGTTCATCCATGTTGTAGTATATGTCAGAGTTTTCTTCCTTTTTAAGTCTGAATAATATTCCATTGTATGTGTATACTACATTTTGTTTATCCATTCATCTGTCATTGGACCCTTGGATTGTTTCTACATTTGGATATTGTGAATAACTCTACTATGAACATGGTGTACACATAGCTCTTTGAGTCCTTGCTTTCAATTGGGTATATATTCAGAAGTGGAATTACTGCATCATACAGTAATTCTGTGTTTAATTTTTTGAGTACCCACCATACTGTTTTCCACAAGGGCTACACCATTTTACATTTTCATCAGCAATGCACAAGTGTTCCAATTTCTCCACACCTTCACCAACGCTTTTTTTTTTTTTAAAGCCACTGGTATTACTTTATCACAAAGAATTCAGATCTTTCCCTGAATTTTCACAAGCACACCATAATCTAGTAATAAAGCACCTCCCCATCCCCAGTTTTGCTTATTTCCCAAACTGATTTTGGCTGATAGCTTCCTCTCTAATACGGTTATCACTTAAAAAACACAAACATTCAAAACTAAAGATACAGTGGATTACTAACTGTAACCTTAGCAAGCCTACATGGATTGTTTGCTACCAAATATTACAGTAATTTTACAGTGATCACAAAAAGTCATTAGGTTCTCCTTATTACAATGACGACGAAAAGTAAAAACTCTTGCTGTTTCTAATACTTATCACAAAGAAGAGATGTGCTTTTAAGGCAGGAAGTAACACAAAATTCCTTTAGAAGTCATTGCATTTTCACTTTGCTCAAGTTTTCAACTGCAAAACCTCAGTGAAAACCCAGAAGAGTACATCTCACCATCTTAAGTGCACTCCAAAATCTCAAGCTTACTTTAAAAGCCCACAATATGGGTATTTAAAGTCTTTTCGAAGACCTCTCCCAAATACCACACATCTTCAGATAAACCACGTAAGGAGCTTGAAAGCAGTGAAGGATGTTAACCTGCTGATGCAAATTTCTGACACCAATCTTTCAAGCCACCAATAACCAGGTCTTAGTTACCTTTTCAGTCCTCCCCATCTTGCAGCAAAGCAATTTTGCTTTTTCCCCTGCACTTAGCAGAGTTCTAAGCATTTTAGAAAGTTTCCAAGTGACTTTTTTTTTTGCTTCCAAGCGATAATTTAACTAGCATTAACAATTTACTATTAACCAGTATTTTCTTGGCCCATGAGCTCTATATAATTCCCCAGAGCTCTGCCTACTGATCTTTTCAGAGAATTCCCTTCAACCCACATTCCCTACCACTCCCACCCTCTACAACCCACACCTAACCACAACCCTCCCCCCTTCTCCCTTTCTTCACGCCCACCCCTCCCAGCACCTGTGGTAGGCTTTTCCCTCCCCACCACCCCTCACCTCAGGGTCCTCCCATTTGAACACTAAAATTACTCTGAAATCTGATCAAGTAAAATCGAAGTTAAAAAACACATAGAGCAAGATGAATCAAAGATCACTATCGGTACCCTGACCACTCCCTTCTTAGTAGGAATGCCCAAACTAGACCTGCCATTTCTATCATAATTGGGGCATGACCAACTCGTACCTCCAGCACAGTACAATGACCCCCCTCAATTTGCCAGTTGGCTCATTTAAGTATTTGCCTAAGGCATTTCCATCTTGAACACTTTCCCAACACACAGATTATATCATCACACTAAGAATTCCTCCGACCAATGCACAGGAAGGCGGGCGGGTAGATGAGAGGGTCACTGGGATGCATCTGCAAGCTCCATCTACAAGGCAGCACTCTGTGTTGTGGCATCGTGTTAAAATGTTCTACAGCTTACGAGTCCTCTGGGAGCAAGGTTCGTAGCACAAAACTAGTACAACAGAAGGCTGAATTTAGAAGATGCAGCATCTGAAAACCTCCACCCCAGAACAGGACAGGTGCCTGGTGGCATTCACGTGCCCAGAGATCGCTGCTCCCGGATTACACACTCAAAGCAACGCATCTGCTGAAGGCCCCGGATGCATCTGCTTTGGACTTTTAAAGATTGCCCCCTCATAAGCTCATCTGAAAACGTTAAAGGATGGTCTCCTGAATGAATACAGGGCTTCCTGAGCAAGGCCTGGAAACAGGACAATGGGGAACTCCTCCTCCTAAGCCTCTGGAAATTCAATCTGTAGACATCAATTTAGGCGGGCTCTCTCCTCCTCCAGGGTCTCCCCTCCTGCACTGCTACGACTCACACTGGACAGGGGCTCCATTTCTCCTGCTGCCATCAGCTTGCCATGATGAACACAGATTACCAGAAGCAATGTTTTAAGTGAAGGGGTAACCTCGAGAGAGTTAAGAGGGAGGAGGAGGGGCAGAGTGAGGTCACAGAAGAGGTAAGCATGGAACCTAGAGGAAAAGTCTAAAGGGGTGCACTGCCACCGCCCTGGGCCAGAACTGTCAGCCCCGCGAAGCTAATTTCAGTTTCCACAACACCAGGCCTCATCCCCAGGCGGGTTCACAACCCTCTGTACAGGAGCGGCGCCCTCCTAGAGGTCAGGCTCCCCTTCTCCAGCAAGCAGCTGCGACAGCCAGGCCTGGGTGTTGTCCTCCCCCCGGGTTACTGTGGGCACTTCTGACGCAGCTCTTCCCAGCACAGTTCCCCCAACATCTAGTCTCCCCTTCAACCTTCCTTCTCCTGGCACCCCCACCCCCCCAGTCCCATCTAACTCTGCCATCTCCCCCACCTG